CGGCTCCCCGCTTATGCAAATGAAGCCCGGGAAATTCAAATCCCGGGCTTCATTTGCAAGGGCGGTATGCCTACATTACCCCGCTAGTTCAAACTAGCGGGGTAGTGTAGACATACCCATAGCTATCTCTCTGAAATTGGGTTTTGCTTTTTATACTTCTGTTCATTCAAATCTGTTCAGAGCAACAAAATATTTTGGAATAAAGAAATAGTGAATGGATCCTGCCACTGTGGCTGTGTAGCTATTTCTCTGAGCTTTGGGCTTCCCTAGTATTTATGTTTCCGAATATGTCATACATTTTAAACACTGGATCTTGCAAGATTTGCTTGAGGAATTGCACAAAAGTGGGGTTCTGTTATGTCCAGTGGTGGGAACCAGTGAAGAGACACATCTGGCTGCTTGTACAGGGGGCTGGCCTGGATGAAGTGGGCTATCTGCCTAATAAGGATGTTAAAATATGGTTAATTGACTAGTCAACTAGTCGATGGAATTATCATCCACTAGTTGACCAGTCGATAGACACTTCCACATTCCTTCTTTGAAATGTACAACAGCAGGAAGTCCCTCTGACTCCGGGCCACAAGCAGTGTTATGCTTTGAAATGTATAAGAGTCCCCAACTGGGGTTCTTGTGCATTTCAAAGCCATGGAACCCGGGGTCAGCGGGGGACTCAGAGTCCCCCGCTGACCTTGGGATCCATGCTGTGCTGCATGCCACTAAGAACCTGGGGTCAGCTGGGGAGTTGCCAGCTGACCCCGAGTTCTGGGCGGCACTTCCCTGGAACCTGGGGTCAGCTGGGGACTCCATAGCTGATCCTGGATTCTGAGGAAATGCCACGGGGAACCCGGGGTCAGCTGACCTGATCCACAAATCTGCTGTGCAGTGGCCACCTTGGGTTTCAAAGTGTGCCTCTTTGAAGTACCCCTTTCCCCTTCCTTTGCTGCCTTTATCTCAGAGAGGCAGCAAGGTGCGGGGGAGATATCAACAAGTCAAAAGACTATCCAATAAGCAAATGCTTATCGGATAGTTGACTAGTCGACTAGTCTTTAACATCCTTACTGCGTATCCCATTCGAAAGGCAGTGCCAAGAGAAGGAGGTGCAGACAGCCACTCTACTTCCAATGGTGGCTCTATTTTATAGGGTGTTTGATTAATATAAAGATAAAACGTTATTCCACTGAATACTAAAAGTCAGTATTCCTCCCATTCATATATCTTGTCAAGTACATTTTCTCACACAGGCTGCAAGCCATTGATGAAGTTGGTAAAAGCCAGGGATCAGTTGCACATTTACAAAATAATATCTCGTGCTCTCATTAAGGATTTGGATATAAGCAGAAGGCTCATTTTTGCTGATGGCAAAAAACTCTGAAAGAGTTAAAGATCCATCTCCCTTTGGAATTTGATTTTCATTAAATTTGATATTTGATATGCATTAAATGAAAGTAATAATATTAATTCCATATGATTGTTGGACAGTTTATTTCATTAGTAAAAGAAAAGCACATTAATATATGAGTATAAAATATCAATATTTATGTTACCAATTTAGTAAATACTGATGCTGTATATTCTAGGTTTAAAAGTTACGGTTTCCTACTCAGTACTATTTTTTTTGTTTTTTGTTTTTGTTGAATTCTGAATAGCCATTTTATCTTCTCAGTCACTCAATTACCACCAACAGACATTGTTCGGTATTGTTTCATAGCATAATTTCGTATTCAATTATCAGCATGTGTAAATAAATTGTCCTGTTATCATGTGATAAACCTGTTCTCACAATGATACACAATATAAAATCAAGGAAATATGCACCCGGATATTATAAAAAAAAGGGTGATGACTATGAAATATGATGAGAGTAGATCTATTCAGGACTGGACAGGTTTTCACTCTGGAAATAAATTCATTGTTGAACAGTCAAGCCAGAGGATTTTACAGCTCACAATTACTTTAATTGCTTTTCGAAACCACGGATAAAAGAGAGAGTAAATCAAAGGATTAATGGCAGAGTTGGAATAAGTAAACCAAACCACAATGTCAAAGACAAGGGGTGGAATTATGAAGTTAAAAAAAGCATCAGTCATTACAGTTATAGAATAAGGTGTCCACAATACCAAGAAAGCTATCACAGCTATACCGAGGATTTTAGCAGCTTTCCTCTCTCTTTTAGCAACTCTGTCACTGTAATTTTCAGATGACTGGGTGTTGTTCATTGCTTCTATCACTCTAGCTTGTCTTTTAACCACAGCAAAGATCCTACTGTAAAGTGCTATCATTGTGAAAAAAGGTATTATAAAAAGGACAGCAGATACAACCACCCATGTTTTATTGTAGACAAGCTGACAGCTCCCTACACAAGAGAGGGCATTTGTAAATTCTTCTATCCCTACATCATTAGCCCCAGAGAAGACAATAGAAAAAGTGTATACAAATGAAATTGTCCAGGCAACAGCTATAAACATGCCTGAAACAGGTACTGTGAACTTGATAGGGTAAATCAAAGGATCAGTGACAGCAACATATCGATCAATAGAGATGAAACACAAGTGAAATATTGATGAATAACAAAAAGATGCATCTAAACAACTGTGGAATCTACAGAATGTGTCCCCAAAATACCAACATGTTTCAACAGATCTTATACTGCTGAAGGGCATCACAGTCAGACCCAAACAAAAATCCGCACATGCCAAGGAAGCAACCAAAAAATTTGTAGGCGAGTGAAGCTGTTTGAAATAGGCAATTGAAATGATTACCATAAAGTTTCCAACTAGAGTAAGAATTGTCAGCAAACAAAGCACAACATACAAAGTTATCCGGATTCCAGAAGAAAATGGTGTTTTATAGCAAGAGCCATTAATATTCTCAAAGCAGTATTGTACTTCGTTTGGAAGAAGTGCTGAAGTCATGTTGTGCTTTTGTGGTTAACTATCCCAATCTGTTCAGTGTTCACACTTGTGTACCAATGATCGTGGTGACAGTGGCTGGTCTAAGCTCTTCCAATGTTAAGTCTTTCTGAAAAAGAGAATTAAAGTTGACATGAGTAAGAGTACAATAATTCCAAAGTGTTGCATTATGTCCATTTATGTATTGAAAACGTATATGAAAATAAGCAGTAAATTATCGATCATTGCAAAATATGTTGTGAATACATCTTTCCGTGATGTTTTAAAATAAGCAAACAAGTAGTAAAAAACTACTTTATAAATTAAAATCTTTCTCCTCTGGTAGAGTATATCATTTGTTTTTACCTGTTCCTTTTTATTTGTTTAAATTTCCGTGGTTTCTGATCTTTCTGTCTTAGTCAATTGCAAAGCTCCCATTGACCTCACAGTAGTTGGATGAACTCAGCCTGCCTCATCTTTTGAAGAGCTTTTCTTCATATATAACTCTGGATTCATATTTGAATAACTGGCAGCAAGAAATACATCCTGTCAGTGGTGCTTCATTCTCAGAGCTGTCTTAACAAAGTTAATGACTAAGTACTTGCATGCTGGTCTCTCAAAAATGAGGGGCGGGCTGAGGGAAAACCAGCAAACACCAGGGAAATTTAGTGATCACCCTGTAAAGTGAAATCCCTCTGGTAAAGGGTGTAAAACATTGAGAGGTGTGTAGAGTCAGAAAAACATCATTAAGCAAACTACTTTGATTCATCACAAAACAGTTGTTTTCCTAATACGGACTGTCATTCACATGGTTGACTGATGTCTCATTATAAGATACTTTTATTTTGTGAAGGCAATTTTCACTGGCTCCCACAGCAATCTTGCAGTAGGATATCTCACACACTGACACTCTCTCCCTCCCTCTCTTTCTTTCTTTCTCTTTCATATTTTATGATATTTTTCTACATAGGCCAAACTTACTCCAGAGCTAAGACTAGAGCAAAGATGCAGCAGCTTGTCTCATCCTGCTGTGGTGCAATGCAGCTCCCAGTTCAATTAGGCCAGCCCTAAATTGCCCTCTAGCATCCATGGCTTCTAGGTTTTGCAATAGCCAGAATGCAGAATTACCTTAGCTACATCTGTCCAGATTGCTATTATGCCTCCTCCCCTCTCTTGCCTACTCCCATCTGGCTTGAGAATTTCCGTTGTCACATGGTATTCTGTAAAACTGGTAGAGCAAACTCTGAACCTTGCAGGGGTCACGTGCCTGGGAGGCAATTTGCTAGGGGTACCATTCTGTGCTGGTGTGGGCAAAGGAACTGCATGGCAGATATGGTTTCAGTTCGCTCTTCCTAAATGAGTTTGAGTAGCTAGAGAAAGATAGTTGAGATAACACTTCCATTCCAAACCTATATTTTCCATGGCTTGTAGGCTTCTCAAAAAGGCAGGTTGACACTTTATTGGCGTTCAGTCCCTTATGACTGGCCCTACACAAGCAGCTTATGTCAGTATATTTACATTGCTCAGGGGGGTGAAAAATTCCTACTCAGGAGCACATCACTTAAAGCAACTTCACCTGTAGTGTGGATAATGCTAGTTCGATAAGGAGATTCTCCTGTCAACCTAGCTACTGCCTCCTGAGAAGGCAGATTACCTATGCAAATGGAAGAACCCCTCCTGCTGGCATTGGTAGTGTCTTCTCTGAAGTGTGACAGCTACTAAGCTGCAGAGGTGCCCCTGTAGCAGTTTATGTGTAAACAAGCTGTAAGAGCGCTTATGTCTCTGGCATAAGTTAACACAGCTAAAGGCACAGGACTGGCACAGGCTCAGACAGCCACAACCAGCTGAGAACATGTCTGTCCTCTCAATGTTCAAGGGAACTGTACCCATATCTCGCCACTGTGGCACCCATTCTAGGGCTACGTCTACACTGCAGGCTTCTTGAGGAAGAACTTTTTGCGGAAGAGATTTTCCACAGAAAGCTCTTGCACAAGAGAGCGTCCACACTACAAGTGCCTGTAGTGGGGAAGTCAACTGTCGGGGCCATTGTCATGCAGGTATGGTGCTCTTGGGCTGCAGTCCCACAAAGGGGGGGGAGTACTTGACAGGGGAACCCTCGTGAAAGGGGGGAGTAGACTGAGGGTGGGTGGGACGGTGGGGAAGCCCCATCCTCGGGTGGTTCTGCAGTCTCTCCCTCACAGAGCCCTACAGGGAGGCGGGATTCATAGGGGGTGGTTCCTGAGTGTTTGTGGGAGGGAAGGGGATAGGGCTGGGGAACCACCACCGGGCCCTGGAACACTCTTTGGGTATGTCTACACTACCCCGCTAGTTCGAACTAGCGGGGTAATGTATGCATACCGCACTTGCTAATGAAGCCCGGGATTTGAATTTCCCGGGCTT